TGGGTGGGTGGGTCTATCCCAGCCTGACCTACAGCTGCTGCCATAGACAGAATCTGGGGCAACCTTTCATATGCCAAGCTAACAACCCTTTCCTACAGTCACTGTTCCATTAGTGGGGTGGGGGCTCTCCCCAGATTAACTCTGCATCCAAGAAAGGGAAAATGAAACAGCCAGGTTTTTATGTGGGGTAAACTGAAGACTGGGGCCACGAATACAGTTAGTGGCATCCATCACTGGAAAGCCCACAGCCTCTTCTTAAGGATCATCATCACCATCCATATTAGTGAGGCTGATTGCAGAAATCTTCAGTGCAGAAAATGCTGACATTTAACTGGCTTTTGACAAGTCAACTGAAATTAAGAGTTGAATTAATACAACAGTTGACCACTGCCATTTTAGCTTAGTTCTCATTAATGAGAAGCTGCAACTCTTCAAGAAGAGGTGGTCCACATGTGCCTGTTTTGGAGGCACTTTGACCTCAACCTGCGTCACTGAGTTTAGATGGCAGGCTACCACCTTTGAAACGATGGTCTCCTCCAGGTTTTGAAGGCCTTTGCACTGGACTGCCAGCAAATCTGAGAGACGTAGGCATGATGGGTGTCCACAGACTGGTGCAGGTTCATGAAGAGAGCCTGCCCTCACCTCCAGACTTGCTAAGGCTTCCTGTAACCTGCTCCAGTTTCCCTCTGAACTACAGAGTACTGCATGGCTTGTACTTAGCACACCTAAGAAAAGCAGCACAAGATGTGTGTTGAAGCCCTGGGTATTAGTGCTTGAGGCAAGGGAGAATTAGCAACACATTATTACAAATCCCAAATCTCAGGATGCAGTGGGGCGGGGGCAGGGGGAATCTGGTGAAGGGTTTTGGGATTAAGGATCTCCTTGATGTGCATGGTCTTAAGGGAGGGGAGAGAGTTACCTCATACAGTTTGTTGCGATACTCAGCCACGGAGAGCTGCACATCGTCATCCAGGGGAAGGACCACACTGTGATCAAGCGCAGGTTCTTTCGAAGGACAATGGAACCTGGCGAGAAAAGGTCTGGTCATAAGCTGGTACTCTTGGGGGGAGGGAGAGAGAGAGAGAGAGAAAATGGCCAGGAAACCGGGTGCTATCCATATATCAACCAGGGCAAAAATTTAGCTGGGAAGCACAAGGACTCAAGGAGTTGCAAAAGTGTTGTTGTATATGTCAAAAATACATGTTCCTGCACAGAAATGCAGGAGGTGGAGACAGGCTGTCCCATTGAGATCATCTAGATCAATGTAGTAGGGGCAAGGGAGAAATAAAGGAGCATGGTAGTTGGAGTCTAAGGAGATAATGCAGATGAAAGTTTTGAAAAACAAACAGCAAGGATTTCAAAGAGACACAATGTAGTGGTGCTGGGAAATTTTATCCTGATATCTGTTAGGAGGCAAATTCTGCCAAGTATGGCCCTTCCAAGAAATTCCTAGCTTGTACAGCTGATAATTTCCTCATACAAAAAGTGGAAAAAGAAACTAAAGAACTATCAATCCTTGACTTGATCCTAACCAATTTGGTGGATGAAGTGACCATAATGGGAACTCTGGGTGAGAGTGACTATGTTCTACTAGAATGCTTTATTCCAAAGGAAACCAAGGCAGAGTGTAGCCACACATATATGCTGGATTTTTAAAAAGCCAATTTTAATAAACTCAGCATAATGATAAGGAAGGTAACAACAAAAGGAGTCCAAGAAGGGTGGAAGTTTCTTTAAAAAGGAAGTTGTAAAGGCACAACTACAAACAATTCCAAAAAGGAAAAAAGGCTGGGAGATAGCAAAAAAGGCCAGCGGGTCTTCACAAAAAGATCAGAGAGGACCTGAAAACAAAAACGAACGAACGAACGAACGAACGAACAAACAAACAAACAAACAAACAAACAAAAGACACATGTTGTGGAAGGAAGGCCAGGCTACAAAAGAAGAGTACAGACAAGTAGCAAGGAACTGCAGAAATGGCATTAGGAGGGCAAAAGCTGAGAAAAATGATAACAGATGTGGGCAGAAGTGCTCAATTCCTATTTTAGCTCAGTTTTTTTCCCAAAGGACAGACTATGAACCTGCAGGCAAATGTGAAGCGCAGGTGAAGGGGCCAAGATTGCAGCTGGAGATTGATAAACAAATAGTCAACAAATACCTTATTATCTTGAATGAGTTCAAATCTCCAGGGCCAGATGAACTGCATCCAAGATTATCGAAGAAACTGCTGAAGAACTCTCTGTCCATATTTTCTTGAAATCATGGGAAATGGATGAGATGCCAGAAGATTGGAGGAGGGCTAATGTTGACCCTATCTACAAAAGGGCAAAAAGGAGGAACCTGGGAACTACAGACCAGTCAGCCTGACATCAGTCCCAGGGAAAATTTGGGAACAGATAATGGTCACTATGCAAGCACCTAGAAAACAATGCAGTAATAACTAGAAGCCAACATGGATTTGTCAAGAACAAATCCTGCCAGACTAATCTAATCTCATTTTTCAGTGGGTAACCTCCCTGATAGACACAGGGAATGCTGTACACATAGTATATTTTGCCTTCAGCAAAGCTTTTGATAAAGTACCCCATGATAGTCTGATTAGGAAGTTAACTAGGTGTGGGCTGGCTAGATCAAGTCAGGTGGATACACACTTGGCTTACAGAATCATACTCAGAGGCTGATTATGAATGGCTTCTTCTCAATCTGGGAAAAGGTAACAAGTGGGGTACCCCAGGGCTCAGTCCTGGATCCAATGCTATTCAATATTTTTTTGTTAATGGCCTGGGGATCAGAGGATACAGCGAATGCTAAACAAATTTGTGGATGACATAAAATTGGGTAGAACAGCTAACACCCAAGAAGAGAGATACAAAATGCAAAATGATCTTGATAGGTTGGAGCACTGGGATGAAAACAACAGAATGCAATTCACCAGGGAAAAGTGCAAAGCACTGCACCTCAGAAAAAGAAACCAAATACACAGTTATAAATGGGGGGATACCTGGCTCAACAAAACTACGAGTGAGAAGGAGTTGTAGATCACAAGCTGAACATGAGCCAAGAGTGTGATGTGGCTACAAAAAAGGCAAATGTGATTTTAGGCTTCATTAACAGAAACATAGTCTCCAAATCCCATGAGGTACTAGTTCCCCTCTATGCAACACTGGTAAGGCCTCACCTTGAGCACTGTGTCCAGTTCTAGACAATGCACTTTAAGAAGGATGCTGACAAATTGGAACAAGTTCAGAGGAGGGCAACAAGGAGGATCAGGGGCTGAAAACCAAGCATAATGAGGAAAAACTGAAAGAACTGGGCATGTTTAGCCTTGAGAAAATAAGACAGAGGGAGATAGGATAGCACTTTTCAAATACTTGAAAATATACTTTTCAAATACTTGAAAGTATACAAATACTCTTTCACACAGAGGAGGGGCAGGATCTGTTCTCAATCATCCCAGAGTGCAGGACGTACATCAGGCTCAAGTTAAGGAAGCCAAATTTCGGTTGAATAGCAGCAAAAACATCCTAACTGTTAAAGCAGTATAACTGTAGAATCCATGACCTTGAGAGGTGGTGAGCAGTGCTCCAACACCATAGGCATTCAAGAGAAATTCAGACAACCACCTGTTAGATATCCTTTGATTTGGATTCATGATTTGGGCAGGGGGTTGGACCTGACGGCCTCATAGGCCCCTTCCAACTTCATAATTATATGATTCTATGACTCAGACATCCTGGAGAGTGAAGTCAAGTGGGCCTTAGAAAGCATGGCTAACAACAAGGTCAGTGGAGGTGATGGCATTCCAGTC